GGGGGGAGATGATTGATGGGAGGGAAGGAGGGGGGGAGATGATTGATGGGAGGGAAGTGGGGGGGAGATGATTGATGGGAGGGGGGAGAAGATTGGGGGGGAGAAGAAGAGAAGATTATGGGGGGAGAAGAAGAGAAGATTACGGGGGGAGAAGCAGCGATTACAGGGAGGGAAGGGGGGAGAAGATTACAAGGGGGAGGGGAGAAGATTACAGGGAGGGGGGAGAAGAAGAGAAGATTACAGGGGGAGAAGAAGGGAGAACACAGGGAGGGGGGAATAAGAGGAAAACACGGGAGGAGAAGAAGAGGAGAACACGAGGGGTGGGAGATGAGAACGTAGGGGAGGGAGAGACCACTAAAGGAGGGAGGGGGCGGTGGAGAGACCACTAGGGGAGGGGTGTGAGGAGAGACCGCTAAGGGAGGGGGGTGGAGGATAGACCACTAGGGGAGGGTGGGGGGAGAGGAGAGACCACTAATGTAAAGTCGGGGAGAAAAGGAGACCACTAAGGGAGGTGGGGGGGGGGAGAAGAGATCTCTAAGGAATGGAAGTGAGAGCTCTATAGGACAGGGGGACAGGGAGCTCTTTCACACCACGCGCACACACACACACACACACACACACAATGCATCCCTATACACACAGAAACACAACATGCTTCCCTTACACACAGAGAAACACACAATGCAACCCCTACACATAAAGACAATGCATCCTTTGCACATATACACAGAAACACACAATGCATCCCTTACACACACATGCAAACACACACTGCTTCTCTTACACACACAGAAACACAATGCATCTCTTACACACACTCAACGCACCCCTTACAGACACACACACTGCATCCCTTACATACACAGAAACACACTTTGCATCCCTTATGCAACAAACACAGATTCACACAATGCATCCCTTACACACAACAAGAAACACACAATACATCCCTTATACACACACACACACACACACACACTGCTTCCACTACACACAAACACACTGCATCACCTACACAAACTGGTATCCCTATACACTACATTCCGTAAGCACACACATTAGATCCTCTACAGTAACACATAACACATCCCCTACACACTCTACTCCCTGTGAGTTCATGGGTGGAACATGTAGGTGGACTTATGGGTGGGCTTTATGGGCATACTCACCGTCAGGCCCTGGGGCCCAGACCTTGAGCTATGTAAGAGGCCCCCAAAATTGAGCTGCTTCCCGTTCTCCCAGAACATTGAATTTTGTGACCACAGTTACAAACAGCCTCCAGAGATCCTGTTCTACACCAGACCAGTGGAGCCAGACTGCAGCCAGAGCCCATCACCATCCTCATCTGATTGTAAGTAGGCAATCTAGTATATTATTAGTGACACTAATCTCTAATTTACCTCACATTAAATGGACACTATAGTCCCCAGAACCACTGCAGCTTAATAAAGTTGTTCTGGTGTCTATAGTTTGTCCCTGCAGGCTTTTTAATGTAAACACACACTGTGTGCAGCACTGGCATTAGTTCATATGGGTGGGGCATTGCGATGTTCCGGGAGGGTGGGGCCGGCAAATCCTTCTTTTGCCTAGGGCGGCAAAAATCCTTGCACCGGCCCTGTCTGGGGGTAACGTCAGTTCTCGTGGGACATGTATCTGGAATGGGGTAGATATTAGGTCGAGGTGAAAACCCGACTGTGCTCAAAACCCATGCGTCTTTGGTGATCTTGTCCCATGTGTGTGCAAACCTTGCTAGTCTGCCCCTTTACTTAGTCTGTATGTTGATTGCCTACGGCTTCCCCGATGGACGTCGTCTGGACGGGAAGAAGGGTGCCGGCCTTAATTCCTGATAGGTGCTGGGTGCACCGAAAGAGCCTCTATGGATCCTGGAGGGACCTCTATAGCCTCGGCCGGGTGGATGGCTTCTAGATCTCCAGGCCCCATGTAAAACCTTGGGACCGAATACCCTTTTTAGATTGGCCTGTACCTTGTCTAAAGTGGTGAAGGTTTTTTACAAAAACGCCAATGTCTTTGACAAAGGATTCTCCAAATAGCATACCTTTCTCTGTGGGCCCGGGTTCTCTACTTGCCAAATTAATCAGCTTTGGCTCTATCTTTAGTAAAATATACTTACGGCGTTCTGCCAAGATGGCCGTGTTAGCATTACCTAACAGGCAGATAATTCTTTGGAACCGGCCTCATCGAAGTCCATGGTGATCTCTCCCGCTTTAGCGGATTCGCTGGACTGAGCCGGCCATAGTAGACTCCAAGAGAGCCTGGAATTCCTGAGAGGGCAATATACCCGGGTCTAGGCCAGGAGGAGTCAAAGTAGTCTCGGTGTTAGGGCAGCCAGGGCCCTCAATTCTCTCCCCGTGATTCTGAATCTTATAGGTTACGTACTGCAGAATGGCCAATTAGTTCTAAATCCGTACAGGTGTGCTAGGGCAGGCAAAGTCATATATCTGGTTTCTTTCACCAGTGTATGTAAAGATTGGGTAGGTGAGCTCCCCCTTTTTGATAGTGGTCTCATAATTTGCAGAAGAGGGACCTTTAAATTAGCACTTACATAAGTCCTAGCACACAGCCAGCAATATCTGTTATGTGTACAGTGTGTTGCAAACTGTACAGGGAGTGACAGGAGAAAAAGGAGGGAAGAACCCTCTATGGTTAACAAACTATACCCTGACTGCAGAGCTGAAGTAACACCTTAAAAAAAGCCCCAGGGGTTGATTAACCCCAACCTAAATACTAAAAGAACAGTAACAATAAAGTGTTACTTGCGTTTTTAGCTAGTTGAGAGCAGGACCGGAGCTAGGAGCCGTTCAGCCTGAGCCAAGCAGTCACAGACTGTTGGTTCAGTGTTCCCGCGCTTCAAGGGGGAGAAGCGCGCCGAAGGTCCCAGTCCGCCGGATCAGAGTAAGTCCGGGGGCTATGCAGCCGCTCGGCACCCGCGGTTGAAATCTATGTGGGTGCCGATGTGATACAGCGGTGGGGCGCTAGTGAGACTGCCGTCCACTCAGTTGCTGCGGTCTCACAATCTGTCAGACTACCTCTCCACCCTGTGTGAAGTGGGACCACAAGGGGAGAGGGAAAAAGGGAGTCCGACCTGAACTGCAGCAGTGTGGGGAACACTGCTTCACCGGTCCTCTCATGCAGGGGTTACATGATCAAAAAAAAACAGTTAAATACCAAGTGTTAAAGTAAAACACCACAAATATTTCTAACATATATAATACAAGATCTGTAGAGTAAAGCAAATGCTACTTAGCTGGTCTGAGGAGCAGCAAAGAAAGAGGAAATTAGAGGATTGGTCAAGACACTTAATGTACATGAATGTATATGATTGGCTGCCCTGTTAGGCAGATTACTTATGTTATTTTGTTTTATTCTCTTTCATGTTAAATTCTTTGCTGCTGAGGAGAATAATAAAGAAAGAGAAAGCATAATAGGAGCCTCCGTGTCATTAATAAAATCTATACATGTGAAGGATTATTCAGGGATTCCTGACAGATATCAGTGTTACAATGTAACTTGCGTTCATTTTGAAAAAAAAAATGGTTTGGAAATAGCAAAGTGCTACTTGTACTTATAGCCCTATAACTTTCCAAAAAAATCTAAGAACATAAAGGAAAGAGGAGAAGAGGAGACCAAAGTGGGAAGACTAAAAGAAGTACTAACCCAGAATGGTCCCAATACCCAGAATCAAGACAAGCTCCACTAATATAAAGCAAAGGGTTACTAGTAATGGAGCACTATAAGAACTAAAACAATTACATTTTAATAAACCCTCTCGAGGGAGTCCAATGTATATATAACAAATCTGTTCCCTATATACCCCAAAAGATAAAGGTACGACTAACAGAGATATTGTTGGTACTTGCACAGAGCAAAGGGAGATTGATAGTACAATGAGTCCGGCCAGACAGAGTAAAAGTGATATCCCTTATAGAAAGAATGTATTAATTGCAAGAACTATAATAGGAGACTTCAGATAGTAGATGCTAAATATAGGCGGTGACTAGTTAGTAAGATAGTGTCAATCGATATATAATGGCTCCTGGACTAATTACCTATGCTACAAGTTCCCAGTGGGATATTGAGCACTGGAAAGTGTGGGAGACTAATTCGATATATAACTAGTCTATCTATCTATATAATCTTAAGCTATGTACAGAGTCCAAATAACAACTAATTGTCCTAAAAGTAAAGGAGAGAGCAACCCCCTATTCAAATTCCCTCTCTAATAGAAAAGTAAACGAACGAAAAAGGAAGGCAGAGGTAAATTTCTAAATAAAGTACATAGTGTACTACGGTCCGCTCAACACGCGTTTCGGCGCCCACATGCGCCTTTTTCAAGAGCTAAACCGTTGTTTAGTAACCCCTTAGGATTACCACACTCATCCATGATTATTATATGATCAGTATGTGTTGCTTTCTGAACTATATTACACTACTGTCCATTTGCCCCAGGGATACATACCTAGCCCATATGCTAGGCTGGCATTTAAGGGGTTACTATCATTACTTTTTTCTATGCCGTTTTTGTTCGGCCGGTAGCCACTCCCCCTAATCCTGCCCACCATTAGTTCCATGGAGCGTCACTGTGACGTTAACATACGTGGGCCGGCACTTGGGGTGGTTTAAAAAGCGGCGCTAAACCACATAACGGTTTAGCTCTTGAAAAAGGCGCATGTGG